TATATATATATATATATATCAGCCAACCCCTATAACCCTTAGAAATGCCCTTCAGCAATACCACACATTTACTGAACTAGTGTCTCTCCCTCCAAAGAAACCCACCCTTGCTCTGTTGACTTTTTCCATTGTAGAACTGATATGCACACTATTTACTAAGTAAGCCTCCGCTACCCCTCCCCCATTCTCCATGATGCTAATTCCTACTTGCATTTTCTATAGAAATACATTTCTAGCTTTAAACAACTGATTCTCAAAACTTATCAGAGTTCATTTTTCTGCTCATTTTTGAATTGCAATGAAGTGTATGTTGTTAGAGATGATGCATGTGGTGAGGGCTCTTTAGTCGTACAACAAAACATCCCACATCCTGTTCAGATGTTTCCTCTGTTAGAAGCTTGTTACTCTTTTTGATAATTGTTTTCTAGACACATAACGAATTTACTATTACCCATGTGATCGTGCCAAAGCAGTCTGCAGGACCAGACTATTGCGATGTGGAGAATGTAGAGGAATTATTCAATGTCCAGGATCAACATGACCTCCTCACTCTGGGATGGATTCATGTATGTTTGACCTTTTGGGCGTCAGTTTATTTTTGTATGGTGTGTTATTTTTCTCATAAAGAAATCCAATGTGCTTAAATAGTTTTTTCCCCCCCAAAGGTAATAAATGGCTTCATATTAGAGTATTTTCTTTGATGTATAAGCTGTGTGCAAATCTGTCACATCTGGGTATCTTACCTTTTTTTTTTAACCAATCAAAGTTGAGAAGTGTTACATTTGAAGAGTAGGTGACTTTTTCTGATGGTTTCTGATGATCTAACAGAGGCTTGGTCAGATTTTTAATTGATTTGACTAGATAATTATGATTCTCCTTTCCTTTGCTGTGAGTCTAAATTGGATTACTTAAACATTTTTCTAATGATGTTTCTTTTAAATGGTGATTGTGTATATCTTAGAGGGTCCACATACTCCAGTGCCCTGCAACATAGACCAAGAGTGTGTCTATAAAATGGCTGTGGAGCTGAGCAAGTGTCTAGGGCCAGAACATTGGGTTTCAACATCCCCTAGGCCACTGAAGGAGTAAGAAGGGACTTATATATCAAGTAGACATGAGTTTAATAAGTCTCAGCTCTGCTCAGGATTCAGAAGAGGAACATAGGCAAGTGTGTTTAACACTGTGAAATACAGTGTTGGTTTGTTTGTTTTGTTTTTTCTATTTAGCATTACACAACTCAGCCTAGGGTACTATGTTAATCCATTTATGTAGTTGTAGAAAAAATATCTTAGACTAGGCAATTTATAAAGAACAGAGATTTCATTCTTACAGTTCTAGGGGCCAGGAGAAACACCAAGGTGTTGACATTAGCACCTGGTGAGAGCTGCTCTCTGCTTCCAAGACCACGCCTTGCCTCCCTGTCCTTTCCTGGTAGAAGGTGGACGAGCAGGAGTACGTGCCCTTCAACCCGAAGTTTTTTCTCTGGGTGTTGGGAATCTCTTGAAGGCCATACCTCTCACTGCTGTCCCATTGATTAAGTTTCCCCCAAGGAGTTTGGAGGGAACACCATCTCTTGAATGACCGCAGACAGACGGCTCACTCATCTCACCAGCATGGCATGCAGACCAGTTTTCCACAGCACATTCTGGATGCCTGCAAGTGCCCCTACCCAATAATCAGAAACTATTTTGTATTTTATTTGTTTGCAGAAAAGTACTGGGTAGGAGCAGTATATGTACACACGTATCTTCGCCAAGTATTTAGTGCTGTGTAATTTAGGAGGGTGGAGGAGGAGACTTCATTCCTGCCCCACCTATAAATTACTCTCTGCTCTTAGTCAGGACTGCTAACTCCTTATTTTCAGGTTTTCCCATTGACTAAGTGAGGCTAATGAATGCCCTATCTCTTCATTGGATTGATGTGACCAGTAAACAAAATACTAGGCATGAAAGCTCTTTGAAAGGTATACAGTACCTGGAAAATGAAAGACTATACAAAAAGAGCAGCAAAACTTTCTAGGTATCTATTTTTTTACTTAGCAATAAGTAATGTGCCTTACTTTTGCTTAGGAATTGCTCTATTTCAAAGTTATTTAGCCTGATATAATTTATGTAAGAATGCATTTTAAAGCAAAATAAACTATAGCACAGAGGGTTTTGGAAGATGACTTAGTTGGTAAAATACTTGCTAAGAATGGAGACCTGAGCTCAGACCCCCAGCACCCACCTAGAAGCTGGGCACTCAAAGTGTGCCTATAATCCCAGCACTGGGGAGGTAGTCAGAGACAGGCAGATCAGTAGAGCTTGCCTAGCCAAAGAGGAGCTCTAGACTCAGTGAGGAGCCCTGTCTCAAGAAACAAGATGGAGAGTAATTTAGGAAGGTACCCGAAATCAACCTCTGGCCTCCAGATGCACACATAGATGAACACATACGCACACATACAGCACATGTAGCACACACAAGCAAGCTACAGCAAGGAAATTGTAACACGCTAAAAGTGATAGTTTTTAAAATTACATATGCAGGAAGTCAATGTTAATCTTGATAATTCCAAAACTAGAAGCAAAATTTTTCCTAAGCTCTGCTCTCTCTAATAATATATCAAATAATGAATTTAAGTTATTTAAATAATTAATTTGTCAAACCCTAGTAAAACTCTTTGGTTTTACAATTATTTTATGGTAACAAGTTGTTGTGGTTCAGTGACAGTACAGAAATGTTACATTTCTAAACCTCAACTTGTGCTGGTTTTATAGAGTGAGAAAAGCAACAAATTCCAGAACTAACTTTTCCACAAATTAGTCACGGGGAAGAAAGTATGAATCAGAATCAGACAGTGGATTTGAATTTAGATTGTTGGCTTACCTAGCTCTTCCAGCTTTTACAAGATACTTTCCTGTTTATCCCGGTCCCCTCATCTGCAAAATGGAGATCATAATAACACAGATTTCCTTTAGTGATAGTTCTGTTATATAATGATATTGATATAATGGAAAGTGATTAGTGTACTTTCTGATACTACATTCCATTGTTATAAATGGCATTTGCTGTTACTGTCACCATCATCATTACTATCACCATTGTCGTCACCACCACCACCACCACCATCACCATCATCATCACCACACCCCATCATCATCACCTTCTTCATCATAATTTTTCTTTCCATAGAACCAGGCAATGGGAGTATCATGGTACCATTGGAGAGATGCCCTCATGGGAGTAGAAATAGTTCTTCGAGGCAGACATGAAGGGTTTAGATGCTTACATGGTGTGCATTCAGTCTGAAATAAATTGAACAAAGTGCTGACTTTGTTCATCAACCTGCTTGCTGCCTCCATAACACAGTTATTCCTTAGAACACTTCCTATGTTCTGTCAAGACATAAAAGCTCTGTTTTACTTGAAGAAGGTATTCTGTGGCAGATAGCAGACTCTCCAGCCCTCTTACTCATTCCTGTATTAAATATTTGGATTTTAAAAATAAGACTTGGCCTGGAAGTATAGCTCTGTGGTAAAGTGCATGTTTAGCATGCACAGGCCTGGGGTTCACTACCTAGTACCCAGAAAAAAAAAAAATCAGGACCATTTTCATTCCTTAAAAGCTAATTCCTTATAAGCCAAGGATTATTTATTTTCCATGCAGAAAACATTTATCTATATAAATGACCAACTGGTATGACCAACTTTCTATAAGTAGGCAGGAAAGAGTTTTAAGGCCTTGCTTTTCTGTAATATACCCTGGTTGGTGTGTAAAGGCATTAAGCTGTGACTGTGGGCCTGTGCCTCTGCATCAGTAATGACAACTCTGGGGTAAGAGCAGTGATACAGCGGAGAGCACAGCTAACTACAGGCTCCTCTCTGTGCACTGTTCTTGTGTGGGGGTTGTCCTCTTATTCCTCATATCAAGTCCAAGAGCAAAATGATTAGCATCCATTTTTCAAAAGATGAAATGGGCTAGAGGAGGTTAAATAATCCCTGTGCTGTATACTGAGTGAGTCACGGGGCCAGAACCCAGACAATGTGTACCAAAGACCTTTATTTCATGATTAAAATGGTCACATTCCTTTTTCAAGGGTTATTAGATTATAATGTGAATTTGAGGAGAGTTGGTTGCTTTGTTTTGAGATGATAACTCACTTTGTAGCTTAGGGTGGCCAGGAAGTTGTATTCCTTCTGCCTTAGTTTCCCAGGTGGTGGGATTCCAGGCAGATTTTTTTTTTTTTTTTTTTTTGGTCTTTTTGAGACAGGGTCTCCCTGTAGCCCCAGCTGTCCTGGAACTTACTATGTAGACCAGGCTGGCCTTGAACTCACAGAAATCCACCTGCCTCTGCCTCCCAAGTGCTGGGATTAAAGGCGTGCACCACCACATTTAATGTGAATTTTAAAATCATTTAAATGCATGGGTTTTCATCTAAGGATGAATCTGATTTGCCTTCATAATCATATATCTGCATGAACCAGAAACTTGGAAACTTTCTTTTGCTTTATATTGGCCCCTCCTTTTTCTTCATGAGTTTTCAGTGGCCGAGTATGAGGAGTCCCAAATACTTCAGCACCTTGGAATGGTCACCTGTAACGAATGCATAATAATGTGATATATTTACTGGAAGGTGTGTGTGTGTGTGTCTATGTGTGTATGTGTGTGTGTGTGTGTGTGTGTGTGTGTGCATATAAAAGAGTTGTGGGTCCTGAGTTTCCTTTCCTTTGCCCCTTACCAGCTCTGTGGCCAGGTTATTTCACCTTCCTGAGTCTCAGGATCCTTGTATGTAAAACTGAGATAATACTTATCTTCTGAATGACTTGTGATCATTAACAGAGAATCTATTTAAGATCTCTGGCAAGTGAATTCCTAGTTCACTCCCCAGAGGAAAGCACCTGACAGTCATGGGAAATGCTTCTCTGAGTCACACTTATTCCAAATAAATAAGTAATAACAGGTCAAAAGTGAAGGATTCTGTAAGGAAAACATTATTGATCAATCAATTGATTTTTTTTATGTGTATGAGTGTTTTGTGTGTGTGTGTGTGTGTGTGTGTGTGTCTAAGTCTACCATGTGCATGCAGTGCCTATGGAGGTAAGAAGAGAGAGTTGGATCCCCTAAAACTGTAATTATGGATGGTTATTAGAAGCCATGTGGGTGCTCGGAATCGAACCTGGGTCCTTTGCAGCAGCCAGTGCTCTTAACTGCTAAGCTGCCTCACCTTTTTTATTTTAAATTTTTATTAAGCAATGTTATTGTGTGTGTGTGTGTGTGTGTGTGTGTGTGTGTGTGTATGGTATGTGTGAGTGCAGGTGCAAGCATGTCATGGCCTGCGTGTGTAGGTCAGACTACCTCTTTCAGGAGTCGCTTCTCTCTTTCCACCTTCCATTCCAAGAATCTAAATTAGGTCGTTGGGCTTGCATGACAAGCCCTCTTAACCCACTATGCAATCTCTCTGGCCCTCAGCAAAGCTTTTTTTCTTAATGTTTGCTTAGTAATAGAAAAAAAAAGCAAATAAGTAGAATTTTCTGATTGACTAGCTAGCTGAGCCTAAGCCTGTGCTTTGCCTTGTAAGATTGTCTTCTTTCTTTTTTGTAGACACATCCCACCCAAACTGCATTCCTGTCCAGTGTGGATCTGCACACTCACTGCTCCTATCAGCTCATGTTGCCAGAGGCTGTTGCCATCGTGTGTTCCCCAAAGCATAAAGAGTAAGTGTCCTGACTGGAGGGCTCACCCAGGTCCACCAGGTTAAGGCACATGGACAGGCTGGCATGTCAGATTCCCTAGGCAAAAGATGGATGGTGCTTAATTCCCACATAGTGTAGCTCTGCAATCGTTTCTTTTTTTAAAGTTCTTTTCAGTGGTGGAATTCCTAGCTCTCCTTCTGTTAGCGTGACCTTAAAGACGATAACACATCAGAGGGATGTTATTCCAGTTTGATTTTTGAGATCATATTTCTACTGTTTTATATCCTATTGAAATTTCAATCAGCCTGGGCTTAACTGCCCCCAACCTTCCTAGTTTGGGGATATAAAGGTTATTGTACAGTGTGCCAACACAAAATACAACTCTCATCTCAAAAAGAATAAGAGTTTATTCTTGAGTCAAATACGACTGTCTCTGGCCCAGGGACATGGATTTGGGTTGTTCCGCTGTGCAAATGGATGCATGACATTTTATTAGTACAGAATAAAGAAGTTACAAATCAGGACATTTACCAAATACTTTAGTGGGGACAGCAAGTAGGGTGGTTATGGCAAAGCAGGGAACAAAACTGTGTTGTAGGTCTCAGATGTTATCTGGTGACATTCCTAACTTTTAGATTAGTAGAAGTTAGGAGTATTTTTAAAAGTGTGGACTCACAGACACAGAGGTGGGTAATGAACAGCTTTTGAAGGGCTTAAATATAGCCCAAGATAATTTGACTCTAATCTGTAACATTCTAACTCTCTGCAATCAAGTTCAGTCATTTGGCCTTGAGGATCTTTTAGCATAGGTGTGACTTTTTTTTTTTTTTTCTGGAGACTTCCATTTATAGGTAGTTATAGTGAAGGAATCAGACAAATGGTTTTTTTTAGTTCTGACCCTACTTGCAAATCATAGAACACCTGACCACTGTGATTCCAATTTCTTCATCCCTCATATCTGTCTATTCTGGATTGATGTAAAGAAATTAGATGAGAGTTCATATGAAGTGCTTATCAAAGTGCTTAACACCTCAATAAGCCTAATGCTTGACATAAAGAACACTAACATTATTAGAGAAATTAGAAATGCCTATTCCTTGTAATTTCCTCCCAGGGGTGGAATGAGGTGGAGACCATGTGCATAACCTTTCCTTTGGAATCTCACACAACCAATGGCTCAGCTGATTGTCCTCTTCAGGGTCCTGTGGACAGTTACAGATAATGCTTTTAGGGCTAGTCATGACAAGGCTGGTTTTAAAAATCACTGGGAATTCCTAGTTTGTGTTCTCTTTCTCAAGCCCAGTTAAGGAATGCATGTGCTTATGGCTTCCAAAATGGTCCATAACTTTATATCTTTTTTCACCCCAAAATTTAGCACTGGCATTTTCAGGCTCACCAATGCGGGCATGCTCGAAGTTTCTACTTGTAAAAAGAAGGGCTTTCATCCTCACACCAAGGACCCCAGGCTGTTCAATGTGAGTAGACAGCCTTCATTAATTTTACAGATGTTCACGGTTTATTGTCTCCACCCCAACTCAGCAATAGTTTCAAAATTTTTAAAAAAAATTTAATAAGGAAATCCGTATTCCTTCCCTAAAGAAAATCACGTAGTAAATACTGATATAACACTGTTTTGTTTTTCTTTCCTAGATATGCAACCATGTGTTGGTAAAAGACATAAAAATAATCGTGTTGGATCTGAGGTGACATGTTCCAAAAATACGAGCACCATCAGCACCAGATTCCTGCCCTTGGATATGTGTGGTTGCCGATTTTCTTAAGATGTTTCCAGAAATGACTGATATTTTATATTTATATATTTCAGATTGAAAGTTTCATATTTATTGTTCTTGCACATTTTGAAGTTTTCTTTTTGGGTTGCTGTGTCTCAAAAGAGGTCACATGGTGTTAAATCTATACCTATTAATGTACCCAAACCCTATCATCAGAAATAAATTGTGCTGCAAGTAACAATATGCTTAATATCTTGGGAGGTGTCCACATACATTTTCAGAGCTTCGGGTATTTTGTTGTATTCCTAAAAATTCGTGTAAGATGTAATGCCACAAAAGAAATTCTGAACCCAGGTGGTCTGTGGGGCAAGTACTTGCTGCTGGGCTCCTTCCCTGTGGTGAAGAAGAGGAGAGGCTCCACGTCAGAGAAGAAATGTGGTTGCAGTCATCAGATCTATGCTGTGTCTTCAGTTTCCTCAAACTTCAGGATCAGGGTTAAGTCTGCAGTCAATTGGTGTAGGACCCAAATGACAGGCTTCAACTCCGAGTTCAGGTGCAGAGGGCCCAGGCAGCACACCACTGGCTAACCTGCTTTAGAAGACTTGAAACAGAGAAGCTTGAGGGAATCATAAAAAATAATAAATAAAAGTTCAGACCTGTCTTACCTGACTCAAGTCCAGATTTCTTCTCTATTCTTTCCAACTGTTAAGTTTCTCTAACCATCTCTCCATGGAGCTCCTGTTCCTTCCCTGAGAGGGTCAAATGTAAGAGTCTATGAAATGAGAGGAAATGAACTTAAGATGTAACTGATAATCACTAGCTGAAAGAATAGTATTTATAGTTACATATATGGGTCACATATATGTTGCATATGGCAAAATATAACATGTTGATACAGAATAGGAATAAAATAGGTTTGAAGCTGACTAGGGTGGCATAAGTCAGTCTTGTGATTTTACTAAAGGTTGGAATGGTACTTACAACTGTTAACCTAAATAAAGCACTTAGGAAGACCAATAGGCACAGATTAAGTAGAAAGAATTGAAGGCTCATACGCTGTCTTAGCAACGGGAACTGAAAGGAAAAACTTGAGGATGGAAGCACTGTAGAAAAATTCAGCTGCTAATAAAAGGAAGAAAGAAGGAAAATGACACTGCTGTTCACTTCAAGAATATGGAGGTACTCCAGGATATGGAAGACCGGTTTTCCAGGTGCATCCTAAGTATTGGCAGATACTGCTGCTAGCACCTCTGGAAATCCCAAGCTGGCTGACCTTTCCTTGGTCCACAGTCCTCTAGCCACCTTCTAGACTACCTTCTTATACATTAGTGTCTTACCTGACTCAAGTCCAGATTTCTTCTCTATTCTTTCCAACTGTTAAGTTTCTCCAACCATCTCTCCATGGAGCTCCTTGTTCCTTCTCTGAGAGGGTCAAATTAATTCTATTAACCTGTCTTCTTGCCCATGTGTGGTTGGTCAACCCCAGCTTTCCAGTCCTTGTTTTCCTTCTGGCATTATAACTGAGCTGCTTGAACAAGTCATGTCCACACCAATCACTGCCAACATCTTTCTTCTTTTTTCTTTATTGTAAAGTGAATTAATTATTTTTCAAGGGATTTCAGGTGATTTCCTTCACAGTCCATCAAGGTTGCAGAAATTCAAGATAATCCTTTCTCAAAGAAACAGGTATTTCTTAATCCAGTTGTGCTAGCAGCCCACAGTTTTTATGTCTACGTGAATTAAGGACATATTCATGGTAACTTCAAAGTTCTCTGCCTGATATCTTTGGCATCCAATTTCTTAAAACCATTTATTTTAGGAACCATTTCAGGATCAATCTGCTTCTCAATTGCTGACACCCCCATATTCTCTTAAGAATGAATTTAGATAATATAAATTCCTAAGCCATCACACTAAAAAATACTATGGTCTACAGGAGACACCAATGCCTAAAGCTAAAAAGCAGAGTAGTCTTTCACAGTTTGTTGGCTGTCTTGTAGTTCCTTCCCACAGGCCTAAGAAACAGTCCTGTGAGTTAAGCAAACCACAAATGTTACTGTATGAAGTGTTTCCCATGATGTTTGGAGAAGCCCCATTGGGTAACATCTGTTTTCTAGTACAGTGATTTCTATATCCAGGAGAGATAGTCCCCTGACTCTGGACATTGATAAGCTAACCGTCTCCCTGTTTATCCATTCTTCAGTATCAGTAGCATGCACCAATTTCTGCTTACTTTAAAAAAAAAAAAAAACCTGCTGTTGGAAGACTCATGGCTTAATCCTGTTTTATAGAGACTAGCAGCCTTGAAAAGTTAAGATATTAGGCTTTGGAAAAGAGATTTGTTTGCCCTATGCCTAGGAGCTTAAGTCTATGGTCACCAATAACTAGGGATAAATTAATTCTGCAAGGTGGGCCAGATCATTTTTTTCCTGAATGTGCTGCCATCAGTTTCTAAGCTCTTAAAGACATCATTTTAGACACACACACACACACACACACACACACACACACATATATATATATGCATATAGGTCATATATATGCATATATATGTAATATAATGTATATGTATTATTTGTTTTATTTATGTGTGTGTTTGCCTGTGTAAGTTTATGCATACCACACTTGTGCAAGAGCCTGCAGAGATCAGAAGAGTGCATTGGATTCCTTGGAACTAGAGTTATAGGCAATTGTCAGCTGCCATGTTTATGCTCAGAATCGTCTGGTCCTCTGCAAGAGCAATAAGGGCTCTTAGCTGCTCAGCCATCTCTCCAGCCCATATTCTTGTTTGACAAAAAATACATAATTTATTCAGTTCTGCATGAAATAACTATCATCATCACAACTTTAGCTAAGCCTGATCACTAAACATTGTCACAAGTGGGCTTGTTGACGATTGTGCTCAATCATTAAAGGAGGGCCAAACAGAGTCATTAGACCCTCATCGCATTATCTAGCCACTCTTTCCCATCAACTGTATGTAATTTGACCCTAATTACACATGGCCTCCTGGATTTGGGGAGGGCAAAAGTATACAATCTGGGGAAGGCTAGGAAGAGAAGGCATGACCCATGCTGGGTAAAGGCTTTCCAGTGTGCATACCCTCAGATCATACATACACCTCAGCAACCCATACACCTCAGCAACCCCTCAGTTATCTCAGTAAGTAAGCTCAATAAATTCATTGGTTCCCCAGTAAAACTTTAATCAAACATTGGCTCAACACTAGAACCTTGAAAGGGAATAAGCATTGCTTAGCATCCCCAGGAAAAGAAGTCTTACAACATATGGAAAATTTATTTGTTAATGCTATTATGTTTCATAATTATTTTTTTTAAAAAAGAAAATGAGAGTGTAAAAGGTGTTAAAATGATATGGAAATGGAGATATTTTCCAAAATAGAAAAAAAATTAGAAAGCTTAAGTAAGTGATGAAGGTCTGTTTAGGTTTGTTATGATATATAAAGGATGAGACAAAAATAATATACACATAATCTTAAAATGTCTGTGGTCATAGTTTAGTCAATTAGTTTAAGGAACAAAATATATATCCAGTCAGTTTATCTGAGAATGAGACTATTTGGTTTTTTTACTCAAGCCTTATATACATAGAACATAATTAAAAGTACCAGACTGGTGGAACTGACCTTGGATGTTTAACAGCCGTAGTTTGAAGCCTATACTAATGACATCAGAGGGACTTAAGGGACAGTTTTTGCCCCTTGCCCTACAAGGTTGACTAAGTTCCAGGGGACCACGGAACATCTCAAAATGTCCTGTAACTGTGGTAAGTCCTCTGTCCTCTTGTTCAGGGACACCATGGAGACCTAACAAGATGGACTTGAACCTGTGTCCAGTCTACAAAGAGGAGGGTCAACTCAGAGGGAGCATCTCATTCATGCTTCCAAGTGAAGCCATACATGATCGAGCAGGACCTTTGGCTTATCTTCACATAGATGGAACTGGTAAAAGAAAGGAGCCAGGAGCTCTCTAAAGCCCATGTGACCCCTGAGGAACAGATCCTCAAATGACTTTTAGTGTAAAAATAAATTGATTCATTTGGGCCAGCTGTATGGTCATAAACACCCAGAAGGAAATTGTAACCAAAGAGTAAAGTGATCAGTATATTTTTTAAATTATTTAATAACCATATAATTAAAAGAAGCATTTTGTTACAACAGCATTGACATATTCAATAACAATTTCCAGAGCTAAGATGCATCTCTTTCAAAATTGCCTGTAAATTTTTAGGTTTACAGCTGAATTAATACAGTTATACAATATTGTATTCCATATAAACCCTATAAGACATAAAACTGAATGAGTTTTTTTTAATACAATTGATACCACGATGCACGTGTTTCTAATCTCTATATATCTGATTATTACTAGTCACAGTCAGTTACTTTCTGAGCTCTTTGGCATCTGAGCATGGATATAAAGTCATAAGGTAGATTTCAATGGTAATGTTTTTCACATCTACTAATTATTAAGGAGCAAATTTTTATGCTTTGAAGAATTATTTTTTATACACCCACTTCCCAGGTAGCATCCTCCCATAGCCTCTGTCGCCCCACTAGAGCCCTTATACTCTGATATCCCTGATACTGTCTGCTGTGCTGTCGGCACCCTCAGCCATTCCCCACACTTGCCCTTCTGGTGAATCTAGTCAGCCTATCTAGAGGTCTTTGTTTTAGGAGGGTCAACTGTTCCTCATCTAGCAGTAATCAGTTGTCAATATTCCTTTGGATAAGATTGGGGTCTGCTGTTCAATTTCCCAGTTCTATGCTGGGTTACTAACTGGGAATCCCTTTGGCCACCCTGGCCAACAACTCAAAAGAAGGTATTGCCTGTCTGGCATTGTTGCTTGTTATGCAGCCTTTAACTATACATATGGACTCTTATGAAATTATATTG